CTCTCTCTCATTTCCCCACTCATTCTCTCTTTGTTTCTTTTTCTTTCTCTCCCCCCCCCCCTCTCTCTCTTTCTTTTCTTCCCTCTTTGTCTCTCTGTCTCTTTCTCTTCTTCCCTCTGTCTCTCTCTCTGCCTCTCTCTCTGCCTCTCTCTCTGCCTCTCTCTCTGCCTCTCTCTCTTTGTCTTTCTCAGTCTCTATCTCTCTCTATCTCTCTCTGTCTCTATGTCTCTCTGTCTCTTTCTTTCTCTCTCTCACCCTCTCTCTCTCTTTCTTTTCTTCCCTCTTTGTCTCTCTGTCTCTCACTCTCTCTTTCTCTTCTTCCCTCTGTCTCTCTGTCTCTCTGTCTCTCTATCTCTCTGTCTCTCTGGTTGATTGCACACCACCCCTCGTCTGTGCTCAGAAATAGAAAAAACATAAACATTTGGAAGCGGAAGCCGCGTTGTCTCTGATTCGAAAGCGAAACTGCATACAGTTGCGAACGTGTTGTCTGTGCCTTGTTGATCTGAATTCGGAACCTAAGGTAATGATCAGATGGCTGTGGTGGTTTATTGTAGCTGAAAGCTTTGCAGTGTAGACTAGTATAGATCTATATCTAGACTCTAGATGATGTATCGTGTAGAACCAAACAAGACCCACAGAGTCTCCCGAGGGAGAGAGACCAGATCTAGACCTCCTTAGATCTATATATCTAGATATAAATTATTATAAATATAAATATAGATCTAGAATCTAGAATGTAGACCTAGGCCTAGGCTTGCCTTTCCTTCTTAGTAGTCCCTCACTTATTATAACTAACTAATGTCCACTGGAACTGCATGCAATGTACTGGCCTTTGTAGAGCTAAATCTAAGTTTTTTTGAAGTTTGATGGGAATAGCACACAGTGAGCCTAACCCTAATTACTAATACTAATACTAATTTAGTAAAACAAATTTAAGCTTCCTCTATTACCGAGTATTGGCATTCACTAATTAATGACTAGATTCTAGATCTAATGGCAATGTTAGATCTATCTCAGCTGGGCACTTTGTAGAGCTAAATCTAGGGTTGTTTAGAAAAGCGTTTGATTGTATATCACACGGTGAGTCGAACGCTTAGTCAACCAAGTAAGCTTCCTATTACTATTATTATCATTACCGACTTAAAATGACATTCACTAACAAATGACTATAATGGCAATGCTCAATGCTAGATCTAGGGCTGTTTAGTGTTTGATTGGAAATGTCACACAGTGAGCCGAACGGTTTTAACTAATTAAAAGTTGGGGGCTCGGGTGACTAATCAACTAAGTGAGTAGGCCTAGATCTCGAACCGTCATTTCAGTTTGGGAAATTTTTCGCAGCTCGTCCGACACAAAAGCATAAGCCTAGATTTTTTGTCGAATAACTTTCGATCCCGTTTACTTTTAACCTAGATTCTCTAAACGGCACTCTTCGAGGGAAGTGGTCCCGGCTTAACACCATAGAAATAACACTAAGACTTGTAGTCAGAAACAAAAACACAAGTCGAGTAAAAAAGCTGTCTTCGGTAATTTTTTTCCCTTACTTCAAGTTTAGAATATTTCCCACATTAATTTTTTAATCGGCTTCCTTTTTTGTTTCCGATTGCAAGTGTTATTTCTACGGAATTAGGCCGGGACTACTTCTCCCGAAGAGTGCCCTCTAAACGAGTGACAACCCCGTTTTGTTTTTTCGAGCAAAACTTTTTTCAACGTTATAGATTGGTGTGGAAGGGCACTTTTCTTAGAGAGGCCAGAATATTGCTCGATATGAGTCGGGCGGAACTATTTTCTTACGGATATTGATAAGTAAATGGGACAAACTGATACAAGACCGGGAACGGTAGCTCGATAACATTAACAATCAGTGCCGTCTGTCTCAAGTCATCCGTAAGAAAATCGTGTCTTTTCATCGGACAGGCTACAGCACGGGCAAAAATAGTTTTGGTGTCGACGGACATCCCCGCTCCGTCCCTCATGTTTAAACTGACTGCGTCAGTGTCGTTCTGTAGGTATTAATTTTAAATAACGTTTCCAAGCCCTCTGACCTGGTAACCGTAACAGTTTTGGTCAGGTCCATTTTTCCCCTTCTCTTTCCCCCGATCTCGGAATCTTCGCGGAGAGGAGCAGCGCCAGCCGTTTGCCAGCGACGAGGAGACGGTGAGTTCTCACGCATCCTCAAACCCGCACACACGCACGCACCAACACACACACACACACACACACACACACACACATACACTCGCGCGCGCTTGGCAGTCCGACCCGAAATAGGTATATTTAATTAAAACATTTCCAGTCGAAAGTCGGGCTTGAGTTGTTTTCTTATTCGTACATTCATATAATATAAGTGAGACAAATTATCGATAAAAGACCAATGCGACAGCCATATACATATATTGTACGCACACAAACACACGCACATGCATGCATGCGCGCACGCACGCACGCATGCACACACGCTTGCACGCATGTACGCACACACTCAGGAAAAAGAGAGGGGAGAGAGAGAAAGAGAGGGAGAGAGAGTCAGCAGCACTTCCCGGTGTGTCCCGTAGGTCTGCGCTCATAGAAAAAGCTCACTTTGGGCGTATATTTTTCCAGTCTAGCGGAAAATACAAATCATCGCCAAACCTTTCGTGAAAGAGAAACAAATATTTTGAAAATAAGGGGCAAAGATGTTGTCACCCCATAACCCCTATTCCCCCCCTCTCTCTGCTCCAACCCACCCTCTTTATCTCTCTCTCTCTCTCTCTCTCTCCCTCTCTCTCTCCCTCTCTCTCTCTCTCTCTCTCTCTCTCTCTCTTCCCCTTTCTTTCCGCTCTCTCTCTTCTCTTCTCTTTCTCTTCTCTTCTCTCTCTCTTCTCTTCTCACTCTCTCTCTCTTTCTCTTCTCTTTTCCTTCTCTCTTTCTCTCTCTCTCTCTCTCTCTCTCTCTCTCTCTCTCTCTCTCTCACTCTCTCTCTAGGTCATTAGAACCAGAAAACCTTCCTCTATAACACACTGATAATCGGCATGAATCGGAAAGAAAGAAATTTGTTGAAAATACCGTTTAATGGTATATTATCGAAATTATCAAATATCGATACCCGATTATTTAAGAATCGCACGTCATATCTCACACTGCAAACATTTTAAACCACTGTACGGGGCTCTGTTCCTTAAAACTTATGTTTGTTATCCTAAATATGGGAATTTGAGTTCTAAGCCTAAAGATTTTTAACGGGGAGCTAAAAAATTTGAGTAGTAATGTACATTGAGTAATCGATACTAGTAGCTGTTTACAAATGAGATATGAGAGAAAGTGGTGGTGGGGAAGCAGTAAGAAGAAGGAGAAGGAGAAGGAGAAGGAGAAGGAGAAGGAGAAGAATAAGAAGAAGACGAAGAAGAAGAAGAAGAAGAAGACGAAGAAGAAGAAGAAGAAGAAAACCCAGCCGTAACCATTATTACACTACAGACCGAAGTACAGACGAACAAAAGCACAGAAAAAAAGACGAGGTGTGCAAATCTGCTCTTCCCGTTGTGTCCCGGAGGTCTGCGCTCTTCGATAAAGACGCACTGTATGCGTATTTTATTTCAGTGGACAAACCCTTCGTGAAAGAGAAAGACAATCGTTTGAAAGTTGTTATCTCCCCATACACCTACCCCCCCCCCCTCATCTCTCTCTCTCTCTCTCTCTCTCTCTCTCTCTCTCTATTTCTCTCTATCTATTGCTCTCTCACTCTCTATTTCTCTCTCTATCTTTCTCTCTCTGTCTCTCTCTCAATATATTTCTCTCTAGCTCTCTCTCTTTCTCTCCCCCCCCTCTCTCTTTCTATCTCTCTCTTTCTCTCTCTCTCTCTCTCTCTTTCTCTCTCTCTCTCTCTCTCTCTCTGTATTTTATAATTTAACTCGCTTGGTCTTTTACGTTCAGTCACGGCTTCCATCGCCTTTCTTCGGTAGATTGCACACCACCCCTCGTTTGTGCTCAGAAATTAGGAAAAACATAAACATTTGCCAAGCGGAAGCCGCGTTGTCGAAAGCGAAACTGCATACAGTTGCGAACGTGTTGTCTGTGCCTTGTTGATCTGAATTCAGAACCTAAGGTAATGATCAGATGGCTGTGGTGGTTTATTGTAGCTGAAAGCTGTGCAGTGTAGGCTAGTATAGATCTAGATCTAGATTTAGACTCTAGATGTTGTATCATGTAGATCTAGATCTAGAACCAAGGGAGAGAGACCAGATCTAGACTTAGAATCCAGACCTAGGCCTAGCCTAGGCTTGCCCCTCCTTCTTACTTCTTCTTAGTCCCTAACTTATTATAACTAACTAATGTCCACTGGAACTGCATAGGCTAGTATAGATCTAGATCTAGATCTAGATTCTAGATATAGATGTTGTATCAGTCGTGTAGAACCAAACAAGACTCACAGCTAGGCTTGCTTCTCCTTCTTAGTACTTCTTAGCTCTTAGTCCCTAACTTAGTATAGATGTAGTCTGTAGACTGTAGTGATTCTAACTTATGACCACTGGCACTGCATGCAGTGTACAGGGGTAGGACTGGCCTTTGTAGAGCTAAATCTAGGGTTTTGTGTATAATGGGAATAGCACACGGTGAGCCTAACCTTAATACCTAATACTAATACTAGATCTAGTTTTCTAGATCTAGATCTAGAAGATTCTAATACTAATTTATAACTAATATTTAATCGAAGTGGCTAGCCGTACTTAGATCTAGGTTTGGCCCTATCGACTCAAGCCTGTTAAGTACACAGGTCTCATTAGATCTAGATCTAGATCTAGATCTAGTAATTATTCAGGTTCAAATGCATGCAAGTCAGAAAGGCACCTTTTTGTTTTGTCTGAAATACAAATACTTTAGGCATTGCAAACTAAAAATTTCTTTTACAATTCAGCCATCAATATTAAGTACGGCTAGCCTGACAGTCTAGCCGTCCTTAAGTACGGCTAGCCTGGCTAAGTACGACTAGACTGCCAGTCTAGCCGTACTTATCTTAGGCCCTATTAACATTAGAAAACAGGAGGTTTAAAATACAAATACATACACTGTCATTAAGGCACCTGGTTTCGTCTCAAATGCAAATACTTTAGGTAGGTACTGCACACTAAAAATGTATATTTACAATTCAGTAGGCCTATTTTTTTGTTAAATGGTCAGTCTAGCCATCATATTAAGAATAAGTACGGCTAGACTGCGAGTCTAGCCGTACTTCTGCCAGTCTAGCCGTCATTAAGTACGGCTAGCCTCTTCCATATTTAATAGGCCACCTCTATTCTCACCCGGAGTGAGAATAGTGCAGGCGAGTCTTGTGGCTATTCTCACCCGGCAAAACCACATATTTCTACACTGTGATAACAGAAAAATTGTAGAATTCTGTGCCGTGAACAAACGTTCCATTACAATTGTAGCCTACTAAAAGCGTACAATTTTGTCTGTGGGCAGTGGAGAGAGAGAGAAAGAGAGAGAGGAGTAGCGCGAGAATTTCCGGGCAAAACAAAATGGCGACCCGCGTAGTTCGGCTCGATTCGAAAAGTTAAATAGCCGTAGCATCTTTGTAGACAACCAAATTTATTTACTTTTGTGTTTTAACATCATTTTTTAACTTTGTTTTGGTCAATTTGATCGTCCACACCGATAGACAGTATTCAGAAAGAGACGGAGAGAGAGAGAAGAGGGGAGGAGTTGATCCTGCGAGAACTTCCGGGCGGGTGAGAATAGCCACTTTCTATTTAATAAAACAAAAGCTTCACTAAGTAATGACTAGATCTAGATCTAGATCTAGATTCTAGATCAAGATCTAATAGCAATGCTAGATCTATCTGAGCTGGGCACTTTGTAGAGCTAGATCTAGGGCTGTTTAGAAAAGTGTTTGATTGGAAATATCACTCGGTGAGCCAAAGGCTTAGTCAACCGAGTGAGAATCCTATTATTATATTATTACCGACTAATGGCATTCACTAACAAATGAGTTATCAAACTTCAAACAAACTTAGATTTAGCTCTACAAAGGCCAGTAATGGCAATGCTTAATGCTAGGACTTGGCTTTGTACAGCTAGATCTAGGGTTGTTTAGTGGTTGATTGGAAATGTCGCACGGTGAGCCGAACGGTTTTAACTAATTAAAAGATGGGGGTTCGGATGGCTAAGTAAGTGAGTGGGTCCAGATCTAGTGAGTTTAGACTCAACAGTAATGTTAAGCAAATGTCGGTGTTTGACACCGTTAACCAAACTGCCCCTCTGGGATCAATAAAATTGTAATTTATAAATGTATCTCTTTAATGGTTCACTTTGAAGTCAGTATTCCATGAGTAAGAAACGCGAGTGATTCTTGAATTAAAAAGTGGAGACCTCGAACCGTCATTTCAGTTTGGGAAATTTTCTGCGCTCGTCCGGCGCAAAAACATAGGCCTAGATTTTTTGGCGAATAACTTTCGATCCCGTTTACTTTTAGCCTTGTTTCTCTAAACGGCATTCTTCGAGAGGAGTGGTCCCGGCTTAACTCCAAAGAAATAACACTAAGAGTTTGTAGTCGGAAACAAAAACGGAAGTAGGGTAAAAAAGCTGTCTTCGGTATTTTTTTGTCGTTCGAATTTAGAATATTTTCATCCTAATTTTTTTCTTCATCGGGTGGCATTGTGACCCTGGCAACTCAAGCCAGCTTTTTTAATCGGCTTCCGTTTGTGTTTCCGATTGCGAGTGTTATTTCTATGGAATAAGGCCGGGACCCCTAATTCTCCCAAAGAGTGCCCTCTAAACGCGTGACAACCCCGTTTTGTCTTTTCGAGCAATACTCATTTCAACATTACAGATTGGTGTGGAAGGGCACTTTTCCTGAGAGGCAAAAATAAAATATTGCTCGATATGAGTCAGGCGGAACTATTTTCTTACGGATATTGATGTAAATGGAACAAGACCGGGAACGGTAGCTCGATAACAATCGATGTCATCTGTCCCAAGTCATCCGTTTAAAAAAGCGTGTCTTTTCGTTGGACGGGCTACAGCACGGGCGAAAATAGTTTTGGTGCGGACGGACATCCCCGCACGGAACCTCAATTTTCAAACTGACTGCGTCACTGTCGTTCTGTAGGTATTAATTCTAAATAACATTTCCAAGCCCTCTGACCTCGTAACCGCAACAATTTTGGTCAGGTCCGTTTTCCCCCTTCTCTTTCCCCAGATCTCGGAATCTTCGCGGACGCAGTATCATGTCTGGAGAGGAACAGCCCCAGCCGTTTGCCAGCGACGAGGAGATGGTGAGTTCTCACGCATCCACAAACCCACACACACAAACACACACACACACACACACACACACACACACACACACACACACACACACA